CAACCAAACCCCGCCCCCAAGAACAATGAAAAACAAACAAAAGAGCAGAAAAAGAGCCCAAAGTAAACAGCACAGAAAACGTGAGATCATATCAGTTTTCTTATTGTGCACCATTATTATTAGTCACAGGACAACTTTTTCCTCAATTTCATTATCAAAAGCAGCATAACAACTCCAGCGGCAATAGCTTTCCACTTTGTTTTTTGTAACTGCGGCCTTGTTCACTAGAGTAAGTGAGCGAAATTTCCCAACGATGACTCGGCGTTGATCTTTTTCCTGAACAAAAGTTTAACCACGTGGTCACTTGGCCCACATGCAATTTAACACATTTTGTGACTTAGTTCCGCTGAAATTATGAAATCTTCTAATTTGTGTTTAGTTAAACACATCAGCAACTTAAGAACCGATAAGACAAGCTGCATAGACATTCCAGATGGCTTTTGTCGTCTTAAATTGCAGTACAAAATGCCAAGGTTAAGTCTGGAGGAGCGCTGTTGGGCATTTTGAATACTGCAAGCTGTACTATCTGCCCGTAGAGTGGTGCGGGTGCTTCATTGCTCCCATCCTACCATCTATATCCTGAGAGGTTGGTTCCAAGTTACTGGAGTTACATCTGACAGACACAGATCAGGCAGACCACAGGTCTATATTGCCCAAAAAGACAGACAGATACTGCTCTGGTATCTCTGAAATCACTTTCTCAAAACGACCAGCTCTTCGCGTCAGTTTGATACAGACACTGGAAGAGTTTTCAGAGATAGAAGGATACAACTAAGGCCTAAAAATACATTCGGACATTGAGCAAGCTGCCTTATAATTACCAACGTTTGCCATCTTTTAAATAATTACGCTTGAACTGACCCAGCCTAAGAGGTAGCTCCCAAAATGATAATAACATTGTACAACGACTGGGACAAGCTTCGATTCAAGAGTGGAATGGACTGCCACAACAATTAGCTATCTAATTAAAATAAGAAATAAAAAAACTGACTCGATCAATGCGCAAAACATGCCAAGCTTGCATTATTGTATGGGGCTACAATGCACGCTGTACCACTATATGAGACATGGTCAAGAAACAAAAAGTAATACACTTCTTGAGTTACTTTGAAATATGCACGAGTCAATTTTTGTTTTTTATATGTTGCATAATAATCACAAAACAGGCTTCTCTCCAAGTGGAAAGTGTCTTTTGCCGCTGTGTATATTTCAAGTAATAGAGCGTCTAATTCATAACATTTTCCACCGTCGTTAGTGCCTTTAGAAGCGAATGTGTTAAGATTTTTCTGAATTTAAACGATGTTTTTGGGCATTTAGACCTGATATTATGGAAACAGTGACATATGCAAATAACATACTACCGGGTCTCCTGTCTTTGGTTGCATTCTGAAATTAAAATGGTAATCTTTATCCCTATCTGTACGTCGTGTTTTACCATCGTATCCATACGACGTGGGGAACTCTGTGCCACTACTTTCCAAAGAGGAAATTTACTCGTAAATCCGATCTGTACACTTTGCATAGCAGTCTGACAAATTGCTTTCTTGAGAAATACTGAAGTATTCTAAAATGTAAAGAATACAACCGCGGGGGTACAAAATGACCCCAGGGCGTACGGGATAGGGTTAAGCCAGTATCGACAGCATCAGTATTGTAGGTAGCCTGTGACATGTTCCAATCATTTTGTGAAAATGATATACAGTGGAACTCGGATTCAACGAGGTCGCCGGGCCTGACCTAAAATCTTGTTGAATCCGAGTGTTCTTTATAGCAAACATGAGGTTTTGTGTAGATAATTACAGGCACTGAGCAAGTAATGTATGAAGAGAAGTCACAAATAGTGCCTGAAATGCCCGCATATTATGAGCTGTGTAAAAGAAAAAGACCGATTCGTTCAAATGCATTCCTGTGTCATCTCGATTGTTTGCCACAAAGTTGTGTTGCTGTGTAGATCCCAACATAACGGCAACTTTTGATTTCATAGACAAGCGCACAATTCATTACGAAGATCTACGTCAAGACTAGTTTATCATTGTAATAATGATCAGTTGTTGAGGGGAAAAAAAGACTGTGACGCGTTTGTATCTGCGACGTTCAACGCCCGGATCGCTAGTGCGCCCCCCCACCCCCCTGCCTCCCTGACATACACACAGTCACATGTGTGCAAGACGCTCATCCGACTCCGACACACGCATGTGTTGGTATGAAAAAAAGGCCCCTAATTGGTCGCTTGCAATCGGCTAAGTGTATAATGGTTCACGATGCAGTTGCAATGGATGGTTTCCGGGAATAAATAAAGTTCGTTCTGGGAGAAAAATGAGCGAAGCCACGTCTGCGGGGGCAGTTCACCCTGGAAGCGACCTCGTTGAATCCGAGCTCGCTGATTTAAGTGCTCGTTGAATTCGGATTATTTTTATTGATTTTAAAGAAGAAAAAACAAACCGGGGAATCTATCTCATCTCGTTGAATCCGAGTTCTCGTTGAATCCAAGCTCGTTAAATCCGAGTTCCACTGTAGTCATTTGAACATTGAATAATATGTTTCAATGATATTTAAGTTCTTTTCCAAGTCTGATAGGACTTCGGCCTTTTTGTAGCGTCTTTCAATACAAGTTCAGATTGGCCTTATAATTACACGAGCAGGAGGGGTTTGTGAAAAGATGAGCTTAGTAAAATAAGAGTAAACATTCTAAATGGTGATGTTTATCAAAGAGTCCACATAACAAGAGGGTCCACTCCTCTCATTGAGCCAAATAAAAAAGTGTCCTCAAAATTCGGTTGCGCCCTCTTCTCTAATGCTCACCCTTTGCGAACAGGGTTACCCTACTTGTGTTGAAAAAAAATCAAAGTGAAACTAACAAGTTTTTGAATAAATAAGAATTGACATTTCGGAAGACCGTTTTTAATAAATGGTTACGTTGACAAAAAACCTCTTCCGGAGGAAGGGGCGACTGTTTTCTTCGTTTAATTTAACTTAAAAATGAGAGGCGAGAGGTCCTTAAAGTAAAAAAAAACACCCTAAAACTCCGCACTGAACGAACCCGAACAGCTGATGAACAGCAGTCGATCTGCGCACGCAAGATGGTGACATTCCTATTCTTCTTCTGGAAAAACGAAAGAGAGCTTCAAAGCAGACTGCAGCGCCATCTGAAGCAAAGAGCGGACTTTCGGCGGACACTTTTGGCTGAGTGGATCATTTTGTTATGTACTATCTTTGTATTTATCAAGGATTTCAATTTGCGTGCCTTTAAGTCTGCATGCAAATAAGCAGTCCAAACCTGTTAACCAACCGCAGCCACGGGTGAAATATTATCTAGTATGTACATGTAGTAAGATGTTTGTTTTATCAGATGTAGATGAACCGCCTACAAGATATTATACTTCCCTGACGCTGCACAGTATCGGATTACATCCCAAGCACTTATACAGTATCGCGCTACAGTTATCGTTTTCACACTGTTTGTAGTGTTAGTGTTATCGATTATACTAAGAAAGGAAATCACAAGATAATTCGCAGGGCATTTCTATCATCCATTAATTAGTGTCAATTCTCTAAGAACATAACAACAAACAGCAACACCACAACTACCACAATCTCCACCACGAACAGCAACAACAAAATATAAATGGCTGTTCAATTATAGCAAAGGCCTTTACCCCCCCCCCAAAAAAAATAAAAAAAATCCCAATAAAATAAACAGAATCTGTCACAAATAATATATCTTGGAAGTAGACAATGAAAGAGTCAAGTGGGCTATATTCGTCCTGTTGTCTTGACCCTTGCGATATAAGAATAGTAGACCGAGTTTTTTTTACCAAGAGTTTAGCGAAAGGACGACATCGTTTATCAGACTTGATGTAACCAGTAACAGAACAACTTGCATTGAGCAACTTTCATACAAGGAGAGTTTGTGATGTTGGCTTACGAGGATTTGTTTTTGGGTGCAATACATTGAAAAATTTATAGCAATTCGGAGAAGGCTTGGTGTATAAGCACCTGTGGTGTAGACTGTTTTTCTGTTAATGTCTATTTTATCGAGTATTCCGTCCTTATTGCTTGGATGTTGTATCCCACTTAGTCCAGCTTGGCCCTGGTAAGAAAGAAAGATTAATGCAGGTCACCACGTAAAAGTAATAATAAATTATGTAAATAACATTCAACACCACCATCACAGAAACCAGCTGTTTACATTTTATCTATTGCATTCTTGTCCCAGAAAAAGAATATAATCGGGTAGATCATACTTACATATTCGTACCAGATGTTGGTCTTTAACACCTGATCCTTGATATCCACATCCAGAATTTGTATGAGAGAAAGGCCAAATTCCACTCTCACGGCGTCTGAAGTGTTCACAACAGGGCGACCTTCTTTGCCTTGCTTGTCGTACCGTTTCAGTAGTCTCTTAACCAATAGTTTCTCTTTGGACGTTATATTGAGTTCGTTGTCAAAATCTGTGGATTAATGAGAGAAAATCATAGTCTTAGGCTTAAATTATAATATCCTTAACCGTGTACAGTTATGCCTACCACTTCTTGCTGTCTGGGACGTAAAAAATGTTGCACAGATCTTTGTCCCCGGACTTTTATCAACATAAACTCTTAAATACATAAGAAATGCGAACGCATTACCTATCGTTTTGTCTTTGCTATGTGCCCAAAAATTGACCAGTGCATGATTCCACCACGTCGTGAAACATTTGTTTTATTCACTTTCGAATACGACGTTTTGTTAATTATGTTCCAATTGTGGGAAAGCTTTTCTTGCGAGGCCTCATCTCTATCTTGATGAAAAACCCAATCCTTCAAAACTGAGGCTAAAACTGACACTTTGTCGCTCAATAGCATTTCGAGAAACAAATATATTTATCAGATCTATCGTTTCCAAATATCGATGTTAATTTTCAAGACGGGCACTTTTGCCCTTACAAATAATGATCAACTCTGGTCAAGATGAACATGTTGCCTCTCACGGGCTCGGAAAAGTGAAACTGAGTGTACGCATGTGACGAGAGAAGGGCGCGTTCGCATGTGTATACGCGTGTATGCGCGTCCAAGTGCGTGTACGTATGGGCACGAGAGTGTGTACGGGGCGCCCGCACGTGTGTATGTGTGTGTGTGTGTGTGTGTGTGTGTGTGTGTGTGTGTGTGTGTGTGTGTGTGTGTGTGTGTGTGTGCGTCTGTACGTGCGTGTGTGTGTAAATGAATGTTTCTTAGTTAATGAAATAATCAGTTGAAACCATAAAGAGAGCTTCAGAAACTTGTGACCCTAGTTGCACACAGTGGACACACACATCAATCATCATCATCATCAACGCCTTTTACCCCTGGCAGGGTATAGGCCACATACAACCTCCTTCCATTTATCTATATCCTGGGCCATTCTAGTTCGTTCCAAGTAAGCTTCATCTTTCTCAGGTCCCTTTCCAACCATCTCCTCCATGTGGGTTCCTTTGCAGTGACTGTTTTGTGATGTTTCTGCTGGGCTTTTTGAAGGTGTGTCCCATCCAACGCCACTTTCTTAGTCCTATTTCTACTTCTATATTCTTTTGTCCTGTCCTTTCCCATAGCTCTTCATTTCTTAATCTATCCTGCCACTTAATTCTTAGGATACTCCTCATACATCTGTTGATGAAAGTCTTAACTTTTTTCAGCACTGTCTTTGTTGTCTTACACGTTTCGAGGCGTAGAGGAGCACAGACTTGACATTAGAATTAAAGAGTCGAATCTTGGTGTGCAGTGAGATGTCGCTTGCTTTCCAGACTTTTGATAATTGCTTGAAGGCTAACCTTGCCTTGGCGGTTCTTGCTTTTACATCTACCTCAGTTCCACCTTTACCATCGATGACATTTCCAAGGTAGGTAAAGGAGTCCACTTCTTCTAGGGGATTGTCTTCCATTGTCACAGCAGGGCTTGACACTTTTCCTAGCTTCACTACTTTCGACTTGCCCGGGTGTATACTTAGGCCAACACTACCTGATAGGCTGTTGAGTTCCTTGGTCTTTTCTTGCATCTGAGCATGTGTGTGAGAGAGCAGAGCAAGGTCATCGGCGAAGTCCAAGTCGTTCAGCTGCTGCCAAGGGATCCACAGTATTCCATTTCGCTTGCTTCTGGTGGCTTCCTTCATGATCCAGTCAATTTCAAGTATGAGGAGAAAAGGTGAGAGCAGGCATCCTTGTCGCACTCCTGTCTGTACCTGGAATGGTTCTGAGAGTTGTTCTTCGTGGAAGACTTGGCAGTTTGTTCCATCATAGGTTGTCTTCACAAGTTTGACGATTTTGTCAGGTATTCCATAATGCCACATGAGTTTCCACAGAGTTTCCCTGTCCACGCTATCAAATGCCTTTTCTCATCTATTATCTATTTGTGGTGGCCGAATTTTGCTATTCAAAAGGCTTTTTAATGGCTGCATCGATCGACTTGCAGTTTCCGTAAAAAGATTCTTTAAAATATTCTCCAGAGCATGACGCCCTTGGTTTTTTCAGTTTTGAGACAGTTTTGCTGCAAAAATCTAAATTTCTTTATTTCGCCGATCGTTTTTGTAGGGCGACGCTTCTGTCTCTGTAATTTTAGAAAATCTGGAAGTAATATTTCACGAGGCGCATTTTGTTTTGAGAGTAGATCTATAGATCTAGATCTATATTCTAGATCTTATAATTTTTTGCACCTCTCAAGATTTATTGCCCCATTCCAGTAGAGCGCAAATATAGTAGGCCAATGAGTTTTAGTTGATATTAAAGTACATATCATCGAAAGGGGGCCCAGCTAGTAATCTATAAAGTTGACCACTAGTGGTGAATTCAATTCAAGCGATTGCTCAATAATGATGCGCAGGGTAGCGATCTGGTCCACACATGATCGGTTCTTGCGGAATCCTGCCTGGTTTCCTCTGAGCTTCTCATCTGTTGCCAGCTTGATTCTCTCCAGGCTCCAGGAGTTATCCTGTTAAAGACTTTCCCAGGTATGGTCAGGAGTGTTATGCCTCTGTAGTTGTTACAATTGCTGAGGTCTCCTTTCTTTGGCAGCTTGATGAGGTGGCCTTCCTTCCAGTCTGATAGTATTTCCTCTTCTTGCCAAACCTTTTCGAATAGAGCGTAGAGAATTTCCACTGATGTATCTTTATTTCTCGTAAGGGCTTCCGGTGGTATATGGTCGGGGCAAGAAGCCTTGTGGGACTTCAGTGCTGTTATAGCTGCAGCAATGTCCTCTCTCGAAGGTGGTTCCGTAGCGATTTGGGGGTCATTTTTGGAGGGAAGAATTTCTGGTTGGTTTTCTTGAGATGGCCTGTTCAATAGTTGATCAAAGTGTTCTCTCCATTGGTTCTGTTGCCCCTCTGGGCTGAAGATAGTCTTTCCCTCTTTGTCTTTCACTAGTAGAATGGGCTTGCTGAACCTACCTGAAAGAGTCTTTGTTGTCTGATGTACAATCCGCAAGTGCCCGTCTGTTGCTGCTTTCTCCGCCTTGTCGGACAGGCCATTCAGGTAGGTATTCTTGTCCTTCTTGATGGAATTCTTTACCTTCCTGTTTACTTCGGTGTACTCTTGTTGAGCAGCAAATTTCTCAGTTCGGGTAAGGCTGTTGTTGACTCTCTTCTTTTTTTGACTTTGTCTAGAGAGTCATGTGAAATCCATTAATTCCTGGCAGGTTGCATTTACTGCCTCTTTTATCTTTTCCCAGTGTTCGTTTACTTCACATTCATCCAGATCTTGAAGGGATTGAAATCTGTTCTTCATTTCCAACTTGAATTCTTCTTTACTGTATCTTTCAAAAGGCTCGCTTCATACTTTTGGTGACTTCCAGTAATGATTTGTGCGTACCTTCTCAATTTCAGTTTCATTTTTCCAAGGCTCAAATGGTGGTCTGATTCGACGTCTACCCCTCGTAAGACTCGGACGTCCTCCAGTGAGCGTCTAAACTTTCGGGTAATGCAAAAATGGTGAATCTGGTTTTCCGTTGTTCCATTCGGGGGGACCCAAGTGGCCTTATGAATTCTTTTATGTGGGAAGATTGTTCCTCCAATAACCAAGTTGTTGAATGCACAGAAGTTTGGGAATCTTTCTCCGTTGTCATTTGCCTCTCCTATTCCATGTCTGCCCATGATTTCCTCACAGTGACGATTGTTCGAACCTACCGTTGCATTTAGGTCTCCAATGACAATGTTGATGTTCTTACCTGGAAGTTTGTCGATCACACTCTGCAGGCGGTTGTAGAAGTCATCATTATTCTCCACTTTTGCATCATTGGTTGGAGCATACACTTGTATGATGTTCATGTTTATAACCTTCTTCCTACCATCTCTTTCCTTGAGTTCTTTTTTAGTTCCAAATGAGGCCATGATGATTCTTGGACCATGCGCTTCCCAGCCCCTAAATGTCTTTTGCGCTGTTTTGGCGATGATCATCCCTACTCCTTCCCTGTGTGGTCCATCAGTGTCATTTCCTGAATAAATGAAAAGCTCCCCCTCTTTCATTCGCTTCTGTCCAGACTGGTTCAAGTGGGTCTCGCTGATTCCCAGTATGTTCAGGTGGTATTGGTGCATTTCTGGGAGGACCTGTGCAGTTTTTCCAGCCTCATAAAGGATCCTAACGTTCCACGATCCAATCCGGAGAGACTTGGACTTGGATGATGGTGGAGGCTTCTGCCCAGCAGCTTCCTTTCGGCGTTCACTGTTTCGCGTCATAAACTCTCCCTCGGAGAAAATCCACGACCAGCCAAGCAGAGACCATGGTTTTTACTTGTATGTGTTTCTGTAACAAGTTCTTTTTACGAGAGAGGTTGTTAGCCTCGTGACTCAACCCCCGACCTGGTTTAGCCTTATAGTCGCCTCCTACGACTCGCCAGCACCACGTCAGTGCTATTCTTTTCAATGTCGGGACTGAACGGCTGGGACACACATACTTGCTTGTTTATCTAGTCACTGATGTCACCGCTTACAAAGGTAGTATCTTGACAACCAAGTAAATGTCTAAAGAGCCCAGTTTCTTAAAAAAAACTATTTTTGTAAAAAGGTCAAAGAAAAAGAAATACTCGCAAAAACTGTTGTTAGAGAGGGCTCGTTCTCTTCGAGTCCTGATAGTGATTTGGGGGGGGGGGGGGGGTGGAAGAGAGTTCATGACATACTTTCTGAAGTAACCATCATGCGCTTATTGGGCCCTCGTTAGCAATGTCTTGTGTTCTGCGACAAACTAACCAATCCAGTTACCTGTATGCATAAGTGTACACACACACACACACACACACACACACACACACACACATACACACACACACATACACACACACACACGCGCAAACACACACACACACACACACACACACACACACACACACATTCACACTCTCACACATATCTAGACGTTCCCCTGAACGATGGAAGTCTTACCTTTGAACTTTTTAAACCCCACCCACATTTTGATCCACCCATCACCACAGTAGTGTGGGTGCGTGTGTGTTTC